GTGTGTATTGATTCCCTTAAAGAATAATAATATTATGATAAATATGTTTGTTTTCTTAATAATTAAAATTATTAAAATTCAAGTATTTCACGTCATTATTCCCAAAACATATTTTTATGTTTATTCTACTTTTTTTTATAGCTGTCCACCCACGATAAAGCTCGTAAGTATAGATACTACTTTTTTTTATATAGATACCAGGCCACGAAAAAGGTCGGAAGTATAGATACTACTTTTTTTATATAGATGCCAGGCCACGAAAAAGGTCGTAAGTATAGTTACTACTTTTTTTTTTTGCTTGTCATCCGCGAAAAAGGTCGTAAGTATAGATACTACTTTTTTTTATAAGTAGTAAGTCTTAAAAAACCCTGAAGTCATAATTTTTTTTAAAAACTGATTATTATAATAATTACGGTAACCTTCATTCTACCAGTGATGTTATTTTGGAAAATTTACGTTTAAAAATAAAATAAGAATATGAATTGCAATGCTCATTTTATTCAAACTGAAAAGTTAGAAAAAACGAGTTACGACCTTTTTCCTTGGGGCAGTCGATATGTCATCACTCAATATAAAACTTGTTAAATCATTACATAATTACATAGAATAATTTATAATAATCTAATTAATCTAATTAATTACAATAACGCGACCAGCATGGCAGTGAAACTTAATATACAATTATACAATATATTAAAATAGTTATCGTCTTTTGCATATTATAATGTACACAAATTTATAATATAAATTAAACGAATTTGTATACATTTAGATTACACTGGTTCAGTAATTGCATGTTCTGAAAACGAAAATGCTAATTCTAATAAACGATCCYCGATTGTTATTGTTGTTGTTTTTGTAACGACTCGGACGGGCCTTTGTCCGTCTCGGTGGATGCATCGACTGGCTAAGATGAATTGACAACCAGCCAGGGCTCACCCCTCCGGAAATTCGTGGCAAACCGTCCGGGTAAATAATAATACAAATGTTATTATACATTGCCATGACGTGGGTATTACGCGGCTGTTGTGGGGCTGATTCGCCGATGTCACTGCTATGATGTAATAATGCGCAAAAAAACTTTTCAAATGTAATCGAATATTATGGCTAAAAAAAAAAACGAAAATGTTATCACTTTTGCACTTAATATTACTTATATTAGTTATATTTTATAAAAAAAAAACCGCGAATGTTACAATAATCGACAATAATGCACCGACGAATAGTGTGCTCGCATCGTACATAACTGTACCACAGTATTTCTTGTTAAAAATCAATTTTTCAATCATAAGAATATGAATAAAGATAAGATGGATACTTCAAAAATCTTAAACATCCAAACAACTTCTGAACGTATTTTTTTTTAAATATTACGTTGATATCATGCGGTGGCTGTTATAATATCTCGTTATTTCTGTGTGGTTAATATTTGAATCTATTTATTACCACACCATAAAGCTTTCGACAGACAAAATATAATATTTGAGAACATCTAGGAACGCGTTTGTCGT